CGGGCGACCTTCTGAGCAGCCTTCAGCTTTCCCTGGGGGTGGGGGGTGGATGGGGGCCACAGCAGAGCCGTTAAAATATATTGATTTGTATTGGAAAGGCAGAGCGACAGAAAGAAAGGGAGAGAGAGATTTTTCCATTTGCTGTTTCACGCCCCCAAATGCCCACAAACAGCCAGGACTGGGCTAGGCCAAAGCTAGGAACCCCATTGGGGTCTCCCACGTGTGTGGCAGGAGCCCAAAGACTGAGGGCATGGGCCCCGGCTTCCCAGGCACATTAGCAGGGAGCTGGACCAGAAGGGGAGCAGCCGGGACTCGAACCTGCACTCAGCTATGCGATCCTGGCGTCCCCAGCAGTGGCTTAACCCACAGCACCACAATGCTCCCCAACCCTGGAGGGTTTCTTTTTTTTCCATTTGTTTAATTTTAAGACTTTTTTTTAATGTATTTTTATTTGACAGGAAGAGAGAGAGATTGATTTCATCTGCTGGTTCACTTTCCAAATGCCCACAACAGCCAGGGCTGGGCCAGGCCAAAGCCAGCAGCCTGGAACTGAACCCAGGACCCCACACGGGTGGCAGGGTCCCCAGTACCTGAGTCGTCACCGGTGCCTCCCAGGGTGCACATGAGCAGGAAGCTGGAGTCAGAGGCGGAGCAGCCGGGACTCACGCACAGGCATGCCCACATGGGAAGCGGGCCTCCCAGGCTGCGACTTGCCCACTGCACCCAGGTCCCACCTCCTCCCAGGAGGGATTTGAGCAGAGCAGGGACCAGTCCACCCCTGGTTCTGTCCGGATCGCTCCGGCTGCTGGCTGAGAACAGACAGCAGCGTCCCTGAAGGGGGGTCTCTGCAGGAACACAGGTGAGAGGCAGGGCTGGTCAGAAGGTGGGCGAGGGGACGGCCACATCCGGCATGATTTAAGGGCAGGGCCAACAGGGCCTTGCTAGAGGGATACCCAGGGTGGGAGGCTGGGAGGGACCAAGAGAAAGGGAGGAGTCCAGGATGCCCGGGTCGAGGTGGTGGCCTGGCCAACGGAAAAGACCGAGTGGCCATGTGCGGGGTGGAGGTTGGGAGAGGCTGGATGAGGGGCAATGAACCTGGGAGCGGGGGCCGCACCTGTGAATTTTGGGCTGCCCCTTAGACGACCCCATGGCGAGGGCAAGAGTAGGCGGTTGCCCGTGTGAGTCTGGCGTTCAGGGGGACGTCAGGGCTGGGAACCAGGCGGGTTTTGCAGCTGGGGAAGAGGCCCTCGGCGGCAGCGTGGAGGAGACGGCTGGAGGGTTGCTTGTGTCCAGGAGCATCAGGCCAGGCTGGGGCTCGCGGTGCTGTGAGTGAAGCCACCACCTTGGACGTCCGCATCCCATATTCGAATGCCTGGGATCAAGTCCTGTTCTGTGTCCGATCCAGCTCCCTGATAATGCACCTGGGAAGGAAGCGGAAGATGGGCCAAGCGCGTGGGCCCCTGTGAGACCCGGATGGAGCTCCTGGCTCCTGGCTTCAGCCTGGCCCACCTCTGGCTGTTGCAACCATTTGGGGGAGTGAACCAGGAGATGGAAGGTCTTGCTCTCTCTCTCTCTCTCTGTCCCTCTCTGTCACTCTGCCTTTCCTATAAATAAACCTAAAAAAAACAAAAACAAAAACAAAAAAAAAACACACCACCAGTTGGGCTGCAGAGAAAGATGAAAGGCATCCAAGATATTTGCTTAGCACTGTGCTACCTTGTTTCGGTGGTGGAGGGAACACAGGTTTGTCGTAGGAGGTGAAAACAGCCGGGAGGCTGGCCAGAGCCCTGGACCAGAAGCCGCAGGCCCTGGTGATCGGGAAGCGGCCCCTTGGCTTCAGGCTCTGTGTCCTGGAGGAGGAGGAGCAGGTCTGGGGAAGTGGGGCGCAGCCTGAGGGCCCAGCAGACACCCCTGGGGGCTTGGGAGTCGGGAGGAGTCGGGCTGGACCGGAAGGTTGAAGTACATGGTCCAGGGAGTGCGTTTGGGGGTGTGTGGGAGGCAGGGGGTGGGGAGTGGGAGGGCGCTGGCAGAAGCAAGGCCAGCAGGTGCACCTGGAATGCTCCCCGCCAGGTGCGGGCTGGATGGAGAGGAACTGAGACGGTGACAGCGGCTGCATTCCAGGCAGCAGCATTAGATGCCCTGGGTCCCCGCACTCCTGCAGAGGGGCCCTGGCGAGGAAGTCGGGCGCTGGGCGGCGCTGTACAGGTCGAGGTTTCCATGGCTGGGAGGCTGCCCGGTGAGCCCACGGCCCGCCGGCGGGAGCCCTGCCGTTGGGAGCTGCTGCCCCCTGCCGGGCAAAGCCGGCGTTGCCTCGCGGCCACCGCACCCACCTCAGAACCACCAGGCAACCACAGCAGCTGGTCAAGCAGGAGAGGAGACACGTGTGAGTGCATGTGCGCGCGGGAGCATGTGATTGCGCGCGCACACGTGTGTACATGTGCACGTGAGCGTATATGTGAATGTGTGACCGCATGTGCGTATGTGAATGTATATGTGTTTACATGTGTGAGCGTGTGCGTGCATGTGCATGGGTGTAGCTGTGTGTATGTGTCTGTGTTTCAGCTCTCCCGAAGGGCCCAGTAGGCCAGTTCTGACGGCCACCCCCCCCCACTCTGTCTCCCCCTTCGTGTCCACCATGAGCCTGGAGCCATCTTCCAGGGCAGGACGTGGCCCTCCTGGGCCAGCAGCAGGTATGTGTGTGTGTGTGTGTGTGTGTGTGTGTGTGTGGCAGGTGCAGAACGAGCCCCACTCCATAGCAGCTGCTCTATCGGATGGAACTCACTGTTTTCCTGAATGTGTTCATTGCCTTCTTCCAATGAAAAAGTTGGTAGGAAAAGCAGGCCCACTATTCTGCTTAAATCTCAGAGATACGGATGAATGGTGGACTCCCTACTTGTAAAATGTAGCCAAGATATGCAAAAGCTAAATATTTAAAATCACACATTTTTCTGCAATTAAAGTTGAGAGGCAGAGAGAGTGCACCTCCGTCCGCTGGTTCACTCTCCAGAATGCTCACAACGGCTAGGGCTGGGCCAGGCTAAAGCCAGGAACCAGGAACCCCATCTGGGACCAGGGCCCCAAGAACTCAGGCCAAATTCCCCTGACTTCCCAGGCGCATCAGCAGGGAGCTGGCAGCCGGGACACGAACCGGTGCTCGGGTAAGGGATGCTGGCATTGCAAACAGCAGACCCCCTCATGGCTCCTAAAGCTGACCCGACCCCTCCCCGGGCCTCCCCGCCTCCCACTGTTGCTGTCAGAGCCAAGGGCTCTCCAGCGCCCTCTTCAGTCTCGCTGGAAGCACAACTCATTCCCTAGCAGGTGTTTAGGATGGTGCAATGGCTGGTGCTGTGAGCTCTTACAGTAACCCCAGAATTACAGGAAACAGCACTTCCTGGCCCGCCCTCAGCCCCTTGCCCCACTTCCTTGTTCTCTGCAGCACCTGGTATCGAACACACAGGTGTTTTTCTGTTCTCTCTCTCTTCCCCAGGTCAGGGGATTCTGTCTGTCCCACTGTTCCGTGCCCATCACCTGCAAACACACCTATGCCAGTAAATATTTCTAGCATGAATGAATGGCTGTAAAAGTCTTGGGAACATCTGACAGCCCAGTGGCAGCCAGGTCACGTGTGGGTGACGGCATTAGCGGGAGGTGCCAGGCGAGGCGGCCCTGTGGGAACCGAGCCCGTACTGAGGATGACACGGAAGTCAGGGGGAGCCCAGCCGTGCCAGGAGACTAGCCCCACACAGGACTGAACTCGTACGTGATGTCTCTCACTGCTGGGGAAACGAGAGAGGGGGCCTAGGCACCGCCCATGACACCAACAAGCTGACTGGAGTCCCGGCTGCTCCACTTCCGATCCAGCTCTCTGCTATGGCGTAGGAAAGCAGCAGCAGGTGGCCAGGGCTTGGGCCCCTGCACCCACGTGGGAGACCCAGATGGCGCTCCTGGCTTTGACCTGGCTCGGCCCTGACCTTTGAGGCCATCTGAGGAATGAACCAGCAAATGGAAGATCTTTCTCTCTCTTTCAAATAAATCAATCTTAAAAAAAAAAAAAAAGTGAAAGCTAGCATGACCCTGTGATGTTCCTGCCTCCCACCAGTGCCTCTGCACTGGAATTAAAGGTCTAAGCTGTAAAGTGTGCTCCATTCCGTGTGCACACCCGTGTGTGTGTGTACATTTATGCGCACTCTAGCCGACACTGGATATCAGCATCATTTCCTGGGGTTTCTGCTCAGGATGGGTAACACTGGAAAGATTGGACGAGCTACAAAGTAACTTCCTGTCACCTTCAAAAACTTCAAGGTCATGCCACTCCAAGGCTGGGAGCCGTGGAAGACGGGGGGGGGGGGGGGAAGATGGGACAACCCAGCATCCTTTGATACTATGGATATATATATATATATATAAAATCCTAAAAGGGATTTTTTTGGGGGAGGGGAGCAGTTTGCAATCCCTGCAAAATGCAAAGGTGAATGCCTGACCGAGCCCTGAGGGCCGCAGCGCCCCCCGGCGGACGAGTTTGTGCACAGCCCCTTCTGGGCAGCTTCGAGGGGCTGTCACCCTCCCCCACCCCACCCCCAGCCGCCCTTCTGGGATTACAGCCACGCTAACTGGGGGAGGGGGTGCCCCTGGGGGGCAGGGGTGATGCCTGGATCATGGCACACAACGGCTTCCCAGACACGGAGAAGGGTATTGGGGTCAGCCCACAGGCCGTGAGAGCCCAGCCCTGGCTGAGTGGGCTCCCACCCGCGGGGGGGGGGACAACTAGGGGTTACCACTACAGAGGGCTCCCAAGGGTCGGGGGCGGGGCTTGGAGGAAACTGTCGCTGTTGAAAACCTGACCTCCCCTCCCCCCGCAGGTTGCAACCCGGCTCGGAAGTCTGGGGAAGAGGCAGTCCCCCCGCACGTGTTGTCGAGGGGGTGCCCAAGGTACGTGTTTGTGGAGAGGGACAACCGCCTGGGGGTGCGCCGAGGCCCCGAGGGTCAGGCGCCCCCCCCCCCCCATGCTCCTGGATGGGCAGGTTGGAAGTGTGGGAGAGATGGGGATGCAGATTCGAAACGCTCTGGGGAACCTACTTTTCCTTCTGACTGTAGCTCATGGGAGAGGATGGTTCTACACGTGGACAGTCCCAGCCACGCTACCTTCAGGCTGATGGTGGGGTAGGCGCAGTCCTGGCTCTGGCCCTCCTTGCTCTATTGGCAGAGCGCCCCCTTGGGGCAGAGCGAGGCATGTGCACCTGCGCAGGAAATGGCTGGGAAACGCAATGGGCCAGTCCAGCATTCCAGGCTGCAGAAGGGCAGGCGGGGGCACCTGCTTCCTGGGGGCGGGACTTGCCAGGGAGGGCCTCACCCAGGAGGGAGGGCAAAGGGCCATGTCCTTTGCCTGCCCCACCCCGCTGAGAGGAGCCCCAGTCGCCAGGCTACCGTCTCTGTCCCAGGCCTTCAAGGGGTAAGTGTCATTCTAAAGCCACCGACTGGGTATTTCCAGAGGACAGGGTGAGCGTCGTTGTCTGCTCAGGGGGCCCGAATGCCCTGCCCACACTGCCTGCCCGCAGGCCAGGCGGGGGCCACACAGGCCCAAGTCCTCCTGCTGGGAGTGGGGCGCTGGGCAGCAGGTGCAGGAGGCCTCAGCCCCTTCCCTCCTGATATCAACGCCAGGGCCTAGGCCAGAGTGAAAGGGCTCAGAGTGGACACCTCGTCCCAGCAAGCCCCAGCCTTGTCGTCTGTCACTCCGCGAGAGCACTCGGAACCCCGGGTGGCTGGAGCACTGGGGGACGCCCCGCCGGTGCCCTCCCTGGACCAAGTCCTCCAGGAGCGAGATGAAGCCATCGCCAAGTGAGGAGGCTGCTGGTGGGAGTGGGGGGCGGGGAGGGCGCACCCACGGGGCCCTGTCCTGTCAGGGGAGGGGGCGGGGCGGGCCACGCACACCCCTGTCACTGAAGCGGGGGCCGTGGCCGCACCCGCGCACCCCCAGGCCGCTGTCCCTGCCACCCGCAGGAAGCGTGCAGTGGAGGCCGAGCTGGATACGTGCAAGGCCAGGCTGCGTGCAGTGGAGGCCCAGCTGCTGGAGGTCCTGGAGGAGAAACTGAGGCTGAGGCAGGAGGTGGAGGCCTGGGAGGTAGGGGACTGCTGGTGGGCCTGGGAGGCGCGGGGCGACGGGCACGGGGTTGGCCCTGAACCTGCTCTCCGGCCTACAGGAAGACGTGCAGCAGCTGGTGAGGCAGCAGGTGCAGAGTCAGCTGCAGAGGGAGTCCAGGGGCACCCCGGGAGCCCATGGGGACCCCGAAACGGCCGGGACCCCGAAACGCGCCCGGGCCCACTTCGCCCTGGGCCAGTGGGGGCGCTGGCGGTGAGAGAGCTCCGGTCGGGACTCTGGGAGCACAGTCTTTATTCATTAAAGCTGCAGGCCTGGCTGCCCACTCTCTGCCTGCCCGAGTCCTTTTGTGCCACGACGGGGAGGTGGGCTGCAGGCACTCGTGGTCCTGGGGGTCCCGCGCGCTCAGGCCAGGAAGCCTCGGATGGCGGCCGTGAAGTCCTGGGGCCGGTCAGCGTGCACCCAATGCCCAGCATCAGGGACCGTCTGCAGCACGGCCCGAGGGAACAGCCGTCGGATCTCAGCGTGGTGGCTGGGGCTGCCCGTGGAGATGAGACGGGGCGCCCCGTGAGTCCACGCGCGCCCCGTGCCCACACCCCAGGTGGCCCCTCCCCCGGCCCAGGCTGGCTTACTGCACGAACTGGGAGTTTCCGCCGCGAAGAAAGAGCGTTGGCCCAGGGTAGGCGTCCTGTCGGGGCGGGAAGGCCATGATGTTGTCCAGGTGCCGGGCCAGCGCGTCCAAGTTCACCCTCCACACAAAGCGCCCGTCCACCTCCACCAGGTTGGTGAGCAGGAACTGGCGCACGGCCGTATCCTGGGGGCGTCCCACAGTTGCTGGGGAGGGGGGACTCCTTGTGAGGCCCGGGCTGCCCCTGGTCCCTCACCAAGGCCCTCCAGGGGGGTGGGGAGCATCACCTGGACCACAGGGCTGAGCTGCTGGTCGGCCAGCTTGCGGGCCTGGGAGCGGGGCACCTCACCCGGGATGTGTACGGCCTGCATGGCCGCTAGGTAGGCTTTGAAGTCCGAGACAGAAGTGGTCTCCACCGGACTGATGTCCACGGCCACCAGACGGTCCACGAGCTCCGGCTATGGGAGAGAAGTGGGCTGGGGACCGGCCTTGGGGCAGGCACGGGTCTCAGGCTGAGCGCCCGAAGCTGGCTGGGAAGGGGCTCACCCTCTGTAGCGCCAGCAGCATGGCCGTCTTTCCTCCCATGCTGTGGCCGATGAGGGCACAGGGCGCCAAGCCCAGCTCAGGTAGGAGGCTCTGCAGGTCCTGGCTCATGGCCTCATAGCTCATATCCGGGCTGTGGGGGCTGGCACCATGGTTCCGAGCGTCCACGGTGAGCACCTGGGGGTGGGGGTGGGGGTGGGGATGAGGTGACCCTGGCTGGCTGTGGGGTAGACAGCTAAGGCCTGGTCGGGGTGGGCAGTGCCTGGAGGCTGATCCTGATGAGGGGAGTGGTAAAGACCCCCTATGCAGCTACGGGAGACGAAGTACGTGGGTCAGAGCAGGCCCAAGGAGTGGGAGCCCGTGGTTTGCAGGGCTGGCTCGGCTGCACAGCAGCCCCACGGGAAACCAGGAAGGAGACCCCAGGAATGTCCAACAGCCAGGACACAGAGGCGGTGGGCTCCTGACATCCCCCAGGGGTGGGGGAGACACAGGGGGCTGGCCCCCTTCGCGTCAGCGCTGAGCCCCAGCTCTGGACTCGCTGATGGAGACCCGCAAGGTGAACAGGCTGGACAGACGGCAGCGTGAGGGAACAGAATGGACGGTCCACCCAGGACCTGGCTCGGCCCATGGGGTCTCAGCAGGGCCCAGGAGGAAGGGGGAGGAGCTGTGCGCCCCAGGCCCCGCCCACCAGGACCCCGCCCCATTCGGGACCCCGCCCCTGCCCGGACGCTCACCCTGCGGCCCGTCTGCTGCGCCAAGGCCTTGGCGATGGAATTGAAATTGGTCTTGCTGCCCAAGAGCCCGTGCAGAATGACGATGGCCGGCAGGGCCGCCTCTCCGTCCAGCAGCTTGTAGGACAGCGGCAGCGGCCTAGCGGGAGGAGGCGAGGCTTGGGGAGAAGGTCTGAGCCAGGACAGGAGGCAGGGGCTTGACAAAGCAGCCTGGGCCGGGCGGGCCGCAGGGGCCGGCAGGGAGGGGGAAGGGGCGGGGACGGCCATCCACCTGGCGCCCTTGACTGACCTCGGCTCGGCGCCGCCACCGCTGCTGCTGCTGCTGCAGGGTGCGACGGGCAACCTCGAGAGAATGGGGCTGCGGGCACCGAGGGCCCCACGGGGCAACCTCCATGCGCTGGCCCAGCGGAGCATGCCCGCAGCCGCAACCCGGCGCGCACCTCGCGGACGACTTCCGGTCCAAGCCCGGCCCCCACGCCGTCCCGTGAGCCCCGCCCAGTTCCCACTGGAGCTCCGCCCTCTTGCCGTCCCCAGAGCGGATAGACCGCCCCCGATCACGTGGCCTTACGTAATCCCCAGGAACTGTCCGTCTCCTCCGCAACCCTGCCCCCTTGCGTCATTACGTAATCCCCCGCACGGGGCCCTCCCTGGCCACGCCCTAGGCGGAGCCAACCTGAGCTCTCGCCCCGCCCCGCCGCGCCCTGCCCGTCTCCAAGGCCGCGCCCCGCCCCTTCCGGCGTGGAAACCAAGCGCTCCAGGCGTCCGGAGTGGGGGCGCGAGTTGTGGGCCGGCGTCGGGCGGGTTCCCGGCGAGCTCGTGTCCCTGCGCCCGCTCCACAGCTGGGGGCCCGGGTATCCTGAAGACTCAGGGACCCTAAAGGCGACGCCTCCCCGCCCCTCTGTCCCCTTCACAGACGGGGAAGTGCAGAGAGGGCAAAGTGCAGAACTTCTGATGCGAGTCGGGGGCGCCACCGGGGTCCGCTCCCGCCGGGCGTTTGTGCCGTCGGGGGCATTGGTTGGACTGATATGGCCGAGACCCTTCCCCGGGGGTCGAACTCAGCTCACCCGCTGGGGGGAAGCGATGGCGGCTGACGGCAGCGCCCCACACCTCAGAGCCTGGGTTCCCCTGGCTGCCAGTGCTTCACCCAGTGATGGCTAAAGTGGTTGGGGTCTTGGCTCCCAGCCGTGGACGGGAGCGTGTGTGCTCTCTCTCTGGTTCCAGAATAAATAAATACATAAGACTGGATCATGCTGTTGGGGAACCAGGGGTTCGCCGAGCCCCCAGCCGCAATGCTTTTGATATTTACCGTATCAAGACCCAGTATCTCTGCCCCGGCTTGCGGGCTGAGGTGGTGGCGCAGCGGCTAAGCCTCCGCTTGGAACACCCCGATCCCCTAGCAGAGTGCCGGTTGAGTCCTGGCTGCTCACTGCAGGTGGCGGAAGATGGCCCAAGTGTTTAGGCTCCTGCATCCACGTGGGAGACCTGGATGGAGTCCTGGCTCCTAGCTCCTGGCCACAGGAGCCATTTGGGGAGCGAACCAGCGGATGGATGATCTCTCTCTTTCCACTCTGCCTCTCAAATAAATACAATTTGTTAAAAAAATAATCAGCACGCTGTTAAGGGACTGACACAAAGACAAGAGACCCTAAATGATACAGACCCGGAGTTAACACAATTAACATCTCAGTGCAGGTCTCTATTCTGAGAATTTTCGCTGGAACCCACAGTCCCCGCTCGAAGAAACGAATGCCCGGTCTCCACTTGGAGGCAGACAGAGCACACGCTGGCCTGGTGCCTGGCCCATCAAAGGACAGCCATGTGCTCTGTACTGACCACACACTGCTCACCAACCACGCGGAACACAAACATCCACTGTCCTGACCCCTCGGGGAGCTGGGGACTTGAGCCTTGGCGACCGGACTCCTTGCTCTGCGCTTTGCAATACACACCTGCTTTTCCCCCATCGCCCCCGAGTCTGGTTGTCTGGCCCTGCATCGGGCAGGTGAACCCAGTTTGTGGGGGTGGGGGAATTCTGTAGCAGCCAGCTTGCGGGGGGAGTGGTTCCATCACAACCCCCAAGCTGGGAGTTGGAACCTGGTCGTGGCTGATGGTCCCTAATCTCCATTCCCCTCCCAGGCGGGCACCCAGTGGCTTCTCCCCTGCCAGCTGGGTGCTGTGTCCGCCTCACAGACATTAGGTTGTGTAGAAGACTTCCTATACATCCTTCAAGATCCACTGTAGCCGCCCCCTCCCCCTCGATTCCTCCGGTTGAAGAGAATCTCTTGTACCCATGTCCTCAAAGCACCTGCCAGAGACTACCGGGAAGTGTTGTAGAACTGGCCTTCCCCGTGCCCGCCGGGGACCCCGGAGATGATTGGAAGACAGGTTCTTGTGTTTGCACCACGAAGGTTGAGGCACAACGCGGAGAGGAGTGGTGAGCCAGGTGGTGAGGTTTGACGGGTCAGGGTGTGCATCAGAATGAATGGGCACGTCGCCTGGTGGAAGAGAGAGAGAGAGAGCATTCAGACTGAGAGAGAGAGAGCGCGCATTCAGACTGTGGTGAGCAAGGTCACATAGTTGAATGGAGCAAACACACCTGACCGGCCGGGCGGGCGGCTCATCAGGGAACAGGGTCCAGTTCCTCTGGCAGTCTCTCCTCTTCTCTTGCAGGAAGGGTTTGCTGGGTGTGAAACAGATAAAAATTCCTCCTAAGGTTGTATTCCCTGGCGTTATCAGTCTGGTCGCCCTCTCAGGCGCCTGGCAAAGCCGGATCCTTCTGGGGAACTTTTCTTGGGGAGGAGGAGAGGTTGGGACCACCTATGAAGTTGCCGGGTCTCCCGCGTGGGGGTGGGCAGGACTTGGTGCGCTTTCAAGGCCACCACATTCCTTTCCATGGGGGCTTTGTTTTCCTTAGAGCCTTGCCCCACACATACGGCTAATTTCTAACTTCCTGCCTAACAGAGGTAGGTTTTATTTGGAAAGAAAAAAAAAAAATTATGGCTGCAACAGCTGGGGCTGAGCCAGGAGCCTGGAACTTCATCCAGGTCTCCCATGTGGGTGGCGGAGGCCCACACATTTGGTCCATCTTCCACCGCTCTCCCAGGCGCATTAGTGGTGCCTGTATGGGATGCTGGTGTCGTAGGCAGGGACTCCACAACACTGGCTCTGCCAGACTGATCTTCCATCTGCAGGTTCACTCCCCCAAATGCCTGCAACAGGCAGGCCTGGGTCAGGCCCAAGCTAAGAGCTTGGGGCCCACTCCGGCTCTCCCATGTGGGTTGCAGGGACCAAAGCACTTGATCTGTCTCCAGAGATCACTGCTCAGGAGTTCTTGGTCTGCAGGCGACAGGTGTGGTAGGAGAGGAGAAATAATGAGAAGTGCACCCAGACACTAGGCGCGTCTCAGGGAGGGTCTGAGACCGGAGGAGTTTGTCGGACGTGTATGGGTACCCTGCTTCTTCTCCCTACCTCCTTAATTTGGGAAATTGTGGGTGGGGGATTTCTGAATGTGGAGGTATGGATAAATCCTCCCAGGATGGGGCCAGAGCTGTGGCGCAGTCGGTTAAAACCCTGGCCTGAAGCACCGGCATCCCATATGGGCGCCGGTTCTAGTCCTGGCTGCTCCTCTTCCGATCCAGCTCTCTGCTGTGCCCTGGGAAAGCAGTAGAAGATGGCCCAAGTCTTTGGGCTCCTGCACCTGTGTGGGAGCCCCAGAAGAAGCTCCTGGCTCCTGGGTTCAGATCGGCGCAGCCATCTGGGGAGTGAACCAGTGGATGGAAGACCTCTTTCTCTGTTTCTACCTCTCTCTGAAACTCTTTCAAATAAATAAATTAAATCTTAAAAAAAAAAAAAATCCTCCCAGGATCTTGTCAGCACAGTGTTATTGGACCTAATCCTCTCCCTGGGGTGGGCGCCCAGGCCACTGGGATAGGACCTGTAGGGGTTCCACGCTTGTCACGTGGCCACACCCAGAGCGACATCGTAGTCACTGCTGACCAATCACCCAGGGCTTAGGGGCAGCTTCTGCTGGTGGCTGGGCCGGTGGCCCCTCCAGCGCCGGACACCTGTGCCACTCAGCACCTCCTCTGGCCTCGTCCGGCCCTGCTCGGCTTCCGTAGGCAGGCCTGATGCCACAGGCCCTGCCCTGACTCCCAGCTGTGCCCTAATTCCCAAGCACCAGCTCCAGAGAGGGAAAAAACTGGGAGGCAGGTGTTTGGGTTTAATTTGAGGCGGGCTCGGAGGTCACTGGGGGCTGAGCACACCAGGTGGCCATGGCGCCCCGTGTGGTCATTAGGGAAGCCGGCAGCACAGCTGAGTCCTGGGAGTGGGGGGAGCAGGTGCAAGACCTGGGAGGGGCACGTGTTCTGCTGGGGCTGGTGGCAAAGAGGTGGCTCAGGGGACAGCGTTTCAAAGGTGCTTTCAACAGCTGCCCCCTCCCCGCCCCCCGGCCAGCCATCTCGGTAACCTGAGCCTAGCCCAGGACCCACAAGAGCCCCAGGGAGGTGTTTACCCAGAGTCCTGGGCCCTTAGGGCTGGCAAGCTGAAAAACCAGTTGGCTGGAGGTTTTCTTCTTGAACATTCCAGAGAAAGTGGTGGGTGGGGACCGGGAGGGAGGAGGTCGGGCTCCTAGCGTTGGGGAGTGGTCATCCCTGGGGCTCTTAGGGACAGGCTGGGGGTCGCGCGGGTGTGGAGGTTGGGGGAGGGGGCTGTTGCGGCCCAGCCTCAAGCCGGAAGTCTCCGGAACCGCCCCCTCCCCCTCGCCGCGGAGGTCCGGTCGCCACTGCATCCGGCGCCAGCCTCGCTGTCACGTGGGAGGAGTCGTCTCGACTTCTCTGGCGTGTGGTCACCCAGCTCCACGCCCCGATCCCGAGCTCCTCCCGGCACCGCCCCCGGTACCAGCGCCAGCGCTCTGGGATTTCAGCGAAGGTGGAGGGTGGGGGGCGTGACCTGCGGCGGCGAAGGGGTTAAGGCCGGGAGGCGGCGGCTGTCCCACGACTGCACCTGGCCCAGTATCGGTCACGTGGCCGGGGTTTCACCTGCCCCGCTGAGCAGGGACAATCGTGCTGCCTGTTCCAAGGCCGGTCGTCTTGGCGACAGGCGTGCGCCTGGGGAGGTCACCGGGGCAAATTCCTGCCAGCCGCCGGGGTGGGGCCGGGGCGGGGGCTGCGCTGGGGGCCGTGGGGGCGTCCCAGCGACCCCTGGCAGTATCCTGTGCACCTGTCACCGCCCCACCCCCAGGGAGCCCCTAGGAGACTCCCCCCTCCCTATTTGTCCTCTAGCGTGGCCCGTCTCCCTCCCGGCCTTGTGGACCCAGGCGTGTGTGAAGCTCCCATTCTAAACCATCACCAAGTTAATCCCTCGCACCAAGCTTATATTCCCGAGGGTCTGCCCGCGTGCCCGCCCCGCCCCGCCCCCCCCCCCACTCGCTGGGCACTGGGAGAACATTGCTGATACTTTCAGTACCCCCTAGGAAGTGGCAGGCGCCTGCCTTCTCTCTCCTAGCCGCGAACAAAAGAACAAATTAATGAAGTGCACAATCATGGATTGTGTGGAGTGTTTATGTTCCTCGGGGCAGGTTAGGGAGGCCCTCCCCACCCCCCAACCCCCCCCCCCCCCGCGGGAGAGGGTGTCAGCAGGGGGCAGGGACTGTGCCTGTTCCCTTCCCTGCAGCTCTGGTGCCAGGACCATCTCCGGGGGCCTCTCTGCCACCTGCACACCCCACCTGGCACCTGCTCTCCTCCCCTCCCGGTCACGCCCACAGATCCCTGGCTGGGAGCAGGCTCTGCTAACAGCAAGGGCTGGCAACTGTTTTTCTACCTCTAGACATGCAAGGGCTGAGGCCGGTTCTTAAACGGGGCAGGGCTGGGCCACTGCCTTTTGGACTCGCCAGGGGTGGTGGAGAGAGGCGGTGTGTTTTGAAACGTAGCCACCTGCCTCGGCTGCTCTTGATAAACCCCCAGCAGCAGTGCCTGGGCCCCACACTTGGGAGCTTTTGTTTACCGTGCACCTGCTAGGTGCAGGATGACGCCAGGGAGGCCTGAGTGAGCTCCGATCAACCCTCACACCTGACCAAGGCGTCGGCACACACAAGCAAACAAGCGCCAGAAATCCCGGGGTGGGGCTGGGGAAGCGGACTCAGCAGAAGTGAATGATCGACAGGTCACGGTGCAGGAGGAATGTTCTAGAAGGGGGGACATCTTCCTTCTTTATGAACTTTAATTAATATTAATTAATTTTATTTGAAAGGCAGAGAGAGAGCGCGAGCGAGCGAGCTAGCTTCCATCAGTCCAAATTCCCAAAACAGAAACCAGGAGCTGGGAATTCCATCTAGGTCTCTCTTTCTCTGGGCTCTAGGTCCAGTGCTCTTTGCCTCTCTCTGCAGAAGGCGGAGTGGAAACGCTGGTTCCTGTGTTTCCAAAGCCCCAGCCCCGAGGGGAAGAGAAAGGTCTTTGAAGAGGCAGTGTCTTGGCCAAGCATGGGAAGGGGCTCTGTCACGTGCGGTGACTTTGGACAGGGCCCCCCCGGGGGGAAGAATAGCACACAGGGGGCTACTAGGCTGGAGGCAGCTTGCAAAAACTGTCGGTCGCCCCAAGCGCAGAGCCCAGTGCCAGCCGCAGGACCGCGGTGTCACAGAGACAGGATGATGGCTGCCCTGTCGCTGCTGCCTGGGCTGGATGTTGTCTAGCGGGAACCAGCGCAGGCTCTGGGGCCTGCTCAGCAGGGTTGCAGCTAAACTTGTCTCTGGCTGCCTCAGTGGTGTGAGGGAGAGACGCTGAGCCCTGTGACAGAAGAGAATGCCAGGGCCCATCTAAGTTTGCAGACTGCCGCTCAGGAACGCCACAGGGCTCCGTGCACCTGCGGGTCCCCAACTGACTTCCTTTGTCAGTCAACGATCCGGTCATCCCTTAGACAAACATCCACTGTGCACCTGCTAATGCCAAGGGTGAATTTTGGAGGTAGGGATACAGCAGCCACCTGAGCCTGTTTATCCAGGAGCACAGGAAACTCTAACCCCCTCAAAACCCTACTCTCCAGTGGAAAAGGAGACAAGCCATAAACAGATACATATGTGAGTGCAAATTGTGATACACTCAGCGAGCAGGGTGCCGTGTGGGCAATAAGAGGGGGTGGGAGATAATAAGTAGGGCCAGTAAGGGGCCTCAGGTAAAGGGAAACTGAAAGATAGGAAGGGGGACATCAGGAACAGGCGAGAGCATGTGCAAAGGCCCTGGGGTGCAGGAAACCTCATTTTGCTAGAGGGACAAGGAGGAAAGCAGAGGATGCTGGGACAGAGAAAGCCATGGAGAAAGGTAGATGTGAATGAGCAGGTGCCTGTTGAGGGATTTACTCTTTCTCCCGGGAGAGACGGTGATGTGGGAGTGTGGGGCCGCAGAGGGAGACGGCACAGCACCCAGGGCTGGGCCAGGCCAAAGCCAAGAGCCTGGAACTCCATCCGGGTCTCCCACGTGGGTGGTAGGGGCCCAAGGACTTGAGCCATCCCCTGCTGCCTCCCAGGGTGCTGGACAGGAGGCAGAGGCGGGGCCTGATCCCAACTATCTCTGATTTGGGCTGCAGCAGGAGCTGTGGCTGCCCCACTCCTGGTGCTCTGTGCCACGTGGCTCCACGCTGGGTCTGTTAATCCGTTCGGTCCTCATGATGACTTTGAGAGGTACACCGTGACCAAGGATCCCTCTGTCTGACGTGAGAGAATCCAGCCCCAGAGGCTAATTGTTGTAGATCACACACCTTGGACATGACAGGGCCGGGATCCAATCCCCAGCTGGCTGGGCTCCTGGGGCCACACTGTGAACCCCTCCTCTTCCTTCAGGAGACGGAGGAGGTGCCGTGAGTATTGCAGCTGTGGGAAGGGGCAGGGGCGGGCTGATGGAGGAGAGGGCCCAGGCTGGAGCAGGTGGAGGGGGCGCTGGTCCCAAAGGGCTTGCGGAGGGGCAGGAAGTGGGGGACAGGGAACAAGTTGTGATGTCCAAGGCCGGCGCCGCGGCTCACTAGGCTAATTCTCCGCCTTGCGGCGCCGGCACACCGGGTTCTAGTCCCGGTCGGGGCGCCGGATTCTGTCCCGGTTGCCCCTCTTCCAGGCCAGCTCTCTGCTGTGGCCAGGGAGTGCAGTGGAGGGATGGGCCCAGGTGCTTGGGGCCCTGCACCCCATGGGAGACCAGGAGAAGTACCTGGGCTCCTGCCATCGGATCAATTGTAGTGCGCTGGCTGCAGCACGCCGGCCACGGTGGCCATTGAAGGGTGAACCAACAGCAAAAGAAGGAAGACCTTTCTCTCTGTCTCTCTCTCTCTCACTGTCCACTCTGCCTGTCCCAAAAGGGAAAAGAAAAAAAAGAAAAAGAGAGAAAAAATAAAAAAATGTTGTGATGTCCAAAGCTGCTGAGAAAGTGAACGAGCTCTGAAGAGAGAAGTCAAGACCCCCTCCCACTCCCCCCAGCCCCCCGCCCCAGCTTTGGCAACATGGCAGCCCCCCCTGCCACCATGGCCTTGCCAGGAGTGCTGGGAGCAGGGGCAGATGGACTGCTGAGTGGTCTGGGGTAGGGAGGGAGTGGAATCGGATGAGACTACTCTTCTTCATTTCTTTTTTAAGATTTATTTATTTTGTTTGAAAGGCAAGTGAGAGAGAGAGAGAGAGAGAGAGGTCTTCCATCCACCACTTCACTCCCCAAATGGCCGCAACAGCCAGAACTGGGCCAGACCAGAGCCAGGAGCCAGGGCCTCTTCTGGGTCTCTCGCGTGGATGCAGGGGCCCAAGCACTTGGGTCATCTTCTACTGCTTTCCCAGGGGCATTAGCAGGGAGCTGGAGCAGAAGTGGAGCAGCCAGGACTGGGTTGCCGGCCTCACACGCGGTGGCTTAACTTGCCTTGCTCCAGCGCTGGCCCCTGGGCTCATTCCTTTGGGGTTCAGGTTGGTGATGGAATTCCAGGTGTCCCTGCCACCTGTCAGGACGACATCCAGGGCAAGTCCAAGGTGTTTCTCAGGAATGTGGCAGCCTAATCTCCCCAGATCTTCCCTTCCGGGCCCGCTCTAAATGGCCACGACTGGCTTCCGCTGGTCAGCAGTTACCCCTGGACCTGACAGTGCTGTCTGTTCCGCGTGTCCATTGCTGTAGCCAGTGGACAGCCAGTAGGCGCGTGCGCAGTGTGAGTTTATCCACACCAGGGCATGCTGGCTCTCCGAGTATGCCCATATGCATTTTGATTGAAATGGCCATGTCACCCTCATCAATATATCCTTTTTAAATATTTTATTTATTTGTATGCGAGGCAGAGTTACAGAGGGAGGGAGGGAGAGACAGAGAGAAAGGTCTTCCATCCACTGGTTCACTCCCCAAATGGCCACAACGGCCAGGGCTGGGCAACGCCAAAGATAAGAACCAGGAGCTTCATCCGGGTCTCCCACATGGGTGCAGGGGCCTGAACACTTGGGCCACCCTCCACTGCTTTCCGAGGCCATCAGCAGGGAGCTGGATTGGAAGTGGAGCAGCCAGGACTCAAACCAGTGCCCATATGGGATGCCAGTGCCGCAGAGTTCAAAGTGCAGCCCCTCTGTTGACTATCCTCATGAATGTCACACAGATACCATGCCTCTGCCTCCATTTTCCTACCTGTAAAATGGGGATGATGAGGATGATACCATGAATCACTCAACCTTTGCACTCTGCAGTTGTAGGCTGTTCTTTTTGCTCACGGTGGACACCATGAAAATGCTAGCTGCCGCCATCCACTCTGTCCTCTGCCCTCCAGCGGAGGTCGTGTCGATGGACGCCATGGCTACCTTTTCTCTGTGGCTGCGTCTCTCAGCCCAGCGCCTGTGGCTTCCGCGGTGGTACCGCCTCCCCACCGACGGTGGCGTAGCATCCTTCATTGAATCTCCCAGCTCTGTCATTTGTCTCTAAACACGCCCCTCTGGGCATCTGTCCTCAGAATCCAGCCGTGTCCGCCTCCTGCCATGCCATGGGAGATGCAAGAATAGGTCCTTATAGTTTGCCAATCTGGGCCAG